AAGATAGAACTATCTGTCTACAGAAACCAGGTAAATCAGTTGTACAGTCAGAAAAAAAAGTATCATCACCTTTCCTTGTGATTGTAGGTGGGGCATTTTGTCTGTCCCTCCTATAGCTAGTGTTCCCTTATGATGATCGTGTTACAGTGTTCAAGGGCCAAGACTAATGAACTAGATATTTGGAGTGTGCTTAAAATGGGGATATAAATGCTCCAGTTGGATTGGCAAATGCTTCACATTGATGCTTCTGAAATTAATATGGAGTGGGAATGGTATATGCACCTTATGCACCATGGAGATGTCTCACAGTTTAAGAGGAGCTATCCTTGATTGAATACCCTGTCACAAAGTGAGCATCCTCACTGTGTGACCAAGGAGGAAGTCCAGGTAATTGATACAGCGAGCAATACTGCTTATGCCATTTGTGATCATTTAAAAGATTTGTTGATACTTTAAGCCCTCATGCAATTTTTATATGAATCAGGCAATAGCATCAGTCATAAAGGAAGATCCATTTTATTCTGCTAATAACATCAGAACTGACCTCTGCTTGGCATATTGTGTAGCAGCAGTTCATAACCAACATTGGACCATGGGCTGGCATACACACACACACTCCAGCCTAAGCAGTCCCATTCACACACTAAATGTGGTGAAGGCATGGTTTTGGCAACACCCCAAGATTGTTGTGTTTCCACATCTACCTAAATCACCAGATTTAAATCCAATCCAACATGTTTGGCCAGGTATGGGCAGGCACATGCCCAGGGAAAGTCCTCACAGCTCATTTATCATATAGTGACATCTTGATGAACTGGAGAAAGATTTCCCAGGATGGATAAGCATGGAATCACAGAAAATGGTGACTGTACGAAGATTTATCCCTTTGATACAGCCTTTATTTTATACTCTCCAAAATAGGGCATAAATATGTACAGATATTTATAGAAATAAACTATTAGTCCTTATAAAACACTGTTCTCTAGAACTTCAACATATATCCATCTCTTTCTGGACTCTAAACAACTGCTGGAAATACAAACAAAAATGTATCCTCTGTCAGCGCCACCTCTCAGTTCCTAATTGCACTGAGCTGTACTTTCTCATTTTCACTAATATTTAATGACTCTAGCACATACATCATAATATTACTGTATTGCAAAACCTACATTCATAGGATCATGGTGTTAACTGGCTTGATTTGCTATTCCACAACGCTTAGATTTTTCATAAAGGTTTGTGTAAAAGGTAATAATACTTTTTTCTGACTGTACCATCAAAGCCACAGTAATCAGAACGACGTCATATCCATTTCAAATTGTTCCTCTCCGTTTATCCGTTTGATAAGCATCATTATATCATTGACCAAAGCTTCTTGAATCAACCACCACAATGGTATGAAAGGAATCATTTTTGCAAAGGAGGAAAATCATACATGGCACTTGATATAATTATATAATTTGGCATCTCAAAGATTATACATTCAGTTTCACTAAAAATGCAAATATGAAAAGCTTCATAAAAATTGAATTTCAGATTTTGTATGAATAATGGCAGTGAAATTTCATGAATATTCATAGTGATGATTTCAAGTAATGATGGGAATGATTATGAAGACATGATGACCTGAGCTTTCAAAAAAAAAGAAAAAAAAAAAAAAGGGGAAAAAAAAAAGGGAAAAAGAGACAAAAAGAAAAGATAGACTGGAAGAGAGAAAGAAAGCATTTCCTATTCCACATGCCTTATATTGATCCCAACTGCAGACACATAGCAGGTAAGTTCAACAAAACTGAACTCAGAATATTAGTTTATCTTTCCACGTCAATTGATGAAAAGTAGCTATGCTGAAGCAATATACAAATGGCAAGATTTCATTCTGAAAAAGCAGAAGGAGAGAAAAAAAATAAAAAGTTCAAAATCCTTTCTACCTCATTCTCATGTATTGCTAATAGCAAAAAAAAAGTAAAAAAAAAAAAAAAAAAAAAAAAACAGGTAAGTACAATACCCATCACTAATTAAGTACACTGAGCTCAACATTTGCATCACTTGCTACTTATCCATGACAAAATAGAACCTGGGACAACACCCACACAATTCTATGTACAGAGTCAATGCAATCTTGCTTGATAAATCATGGGGATCACTGAATTAATCATATGAAACCATTGAGCAATTAACTGTAAAAATATCATGAGCCCCACAAAAACATATTCAAATCATAGGTTAATGCAAGAACAATATTCCAAAAATTGCACTGATCAGCTGTTGGAAATCCAGACTAGAATTTAAAATAATAAATAAAACTTGTCAACAACTAGAAAAGATTACTATTTGCGTGATCTTCCAAATCTTCCACGGTATCTGATCACATGTGTAGTGTCACCATGGTTCATGACCACAACCAATGAACAACGGATCTGGCACATATAATCTGCTCTGCGGTTATACATCCTTCAAGACAATACAGTTACAAATGTAGGTCATATGATTTCTAAAAATACTTGACAGAAAAATCTCATCAAAATGAATGGTTCTCATCAGCAGTACCACCACTGGTGACATGTACACATTTTTACACTGTATTATGTCTATAAATAAATCCAATCGTAGTCAGGCTTCTACGAGCCATAGATTTCCACAGCCTATCACATTCCGAAATCAGTAACGCATGGCCGACACTGTTAGCAAAGTGTGTGCATCCTCGACTGCCAACACAGGTACGAGCGACAGTGTGGCCACTCCCTCAGGAACTGCCTGGACAATGGCCTGCTGAAGGAGCGTCCGGGATATGCTTCCACAGCGGTAATAAAAGGTTAGTCCCATGGGCATTCTGGCATCAGCTCTGGTTATCGTATACTGGATAATTTCTTCTAACATGTCACAACTCAAGTCCTCGGGGGATAAACAACCTGAGGATAATAAAGATTACGTAATACTTTTTTTTTTAATAATACTAATTAACAAAAATAAATAAATTAATAAAAAATAAAATATTAATAATAACAATAATATTGCATACCCATAAATTCACTTCCTTTACTTCTATGTGCACAAACTTGGATAATTTACATCCCATGCTAACTTTAACAAAACTGCACAATGTCAATTAAAAAAAAAAAAAATCAAAAACAACTCATATCCACTTACTAGCATTAGTATTGACAGCACACATGGAGTTATCATGGTACCAGCGTCGTCTTAACCGTACACTTACATTTCCTCTTGTATAGCCCTTTTCTTCATCTGTAAATCAAATTAGTCAAAAAAAATTATAATACAATTCCTGTAGAAAAAAAGGGATGAAAAAAATACACTGAAAGGAATAAGTTTCCTGCTCTGCAAACACAAAGAATGATACTTTCTTAGGCATTCTTAGTAGATCCTTTTTTTGGTTACTCTATTGTAAGTTAGTGAACCACTGAGGTTAATGGAATACTAAGGATGATGGTTTGATCTTCCTTGGTTTTTAATGTATGTATAAAAGTGAAATTCACTAATACCTATAGATGTGAAAAGCATGACATACATATATCTTAATAAAATAAATAAACGTTCACATATAAATAGTAACAATTTACATCACCCTTTATGAACGACTAACAGATTCCTTGAAGAAAGCGTGAGATCACCTTGCACAAGATACCAGTTTTATATTAAAAGAGTGTAAGGAACACACAAAAATTTTTACACAAGACATTTTCATAAAACACCACCAACTCATCAGTTATAAACAGAAAAAAAAAAAAAAAAAAAAAAAAGGCAGGGAAAGGAAAGGGAAAGGGAAAGTGAAAGGGAAAGGGAAAAGGCAGGGAAAGGGAGAGGGAAGGCAGGGAAGGGAAAAGGCAGGGAAAGGGAAAGCAGGGAAAGGGAAAGGCAAGGGAAAAGGGAAAGCAGGGAAAGGAAAGGCAGGAAAGGGAAAGGCAGGAAGGGAAAGGGAAAGGGAAAGTGAAAGGGAAAGGGAAAAGGCAGGGAAAGGGAAAGGAAGGGAAAGGGAAAGGGAAAGGGAAAGGGAAAGGCAGGGAAAGGGAAAGGCAGGGAAAGGGAAAGGCAGGGAAAGGGAAAGGGAAAGGGAAAGGGAAAGGGAGAGGGAAAGGGAGAGGGAAAGGGAGAGGGAAAGGGAAAGGAGAGGGAAAGGGAGAGGGAAAGGGAGAGGGAAAGGGAGAGGGAAGGGAAAAGGGAGAGGGAAAGGGAGAGGGAAGGGAAAAGGGAGAGGGAAAGGCAGGGAAAGGAAAGGCAGGAAAGGGAAAGGCAAGGGAAAAGGGAAAGCAGGGAAAGGGAAAGGCCAGGGAAAAGGGAAAGCAGGGAAAGGGAGAGGAAAGGCAGGGAAAGGAAAGGCAGGAAAGGGAAAGGAGAGGGAAAGGGAGAGGGAAAGGCAGGAAAGGGAAAGGAGAGGGAAAGGGAGAGGGAAAGGCAGGGAAAGGAAAGGCAGGGAAAGGAAAGGCAGGGAAAGGGAAGGCAGGAAAGGGAAAGGCAGGAAAGGGAAAGGAGAGGAAAGGCAGGGAAAGGAAAGGAAAGGGAAAGGAGAGGGAAAGGCAGGAAAGGGAAAGGAGAGGAAAGGCAGGGAAAGGGAGAGGAAAGGCAGGGAAAGGGAAAGGGAAAGGGAAAGCAGGGAAAGGGAGAGGAAAGGGAAAGGCAGGAAAGGGAAAGGCAGGGAAAGGGAGAGGGAAAGGGAGAGGGAAAGGGAAGGCAGGGAAAGGGAAAGGGAAAGGGAAAGGGGAAAGGAAGGAAAGGGGAAGAGGAAGGAAGGGAAGGAGAGAGAGGGGAGAGAGAGGGGAGAGGAGGGTGGGAAGGAGGGAGGGAGAGGGAGGAGGGAGGGAAAGGGAGGAGTAAGGGAGAGGGAGGAGTAAGGGAGAGGGAGGAGAAAGGGAGAGGGAGGAGTAAGGGAAAGGGAGAGAGAGAGGAGAGTGGGGAGAAAGAGAGGAGAGGAAGAGGGAGAGGTGGGCAGGAGGGAGAGGAAGAGGGAGAGGGAGAAAAAGGAAGGAAGGAAGGGGGTGAGAGAA